GCCTCCCCTGCAGGTCTCAGACCTGCCCACTCCCGCAACTGCATTAGTCAATTCCTGAAAATAAATCTCTTAAAATATTAAAATATCCTATAGGTTCTGTTTCTCTAGAGAATCCCAACTGATGCACCAGGCCAGCTCCAGACACAATGCCAGGAGACACATTGAGCTCTGGGGGAGACAGGCAGGAGCACTGTATCTTTCTCTTCTATAAAGGGGATTATTAGTGTCAGCCACTCCTACCCCTCCTCCTGGAACATCTTTGGGGTTGGGGGACGATGACACTTGGTGACTGGTTGACATGTGTACATTGCCAGATGCCTCAAAGCTTGGGCGGCCTCTGCAGCCAGTGTTCCTCCCCTGCCTATATCACACCCAGCTGCCCTTTTCCTCGAACGAGGCATATGGGCCAGGTGCGGTCCACCACATTCTCTTTGTGAACAGCACCTGCCAAACTGACACCACTGCGAATCCACCAGAGGACCCAGAAGACGAGGAGGATGACATGATGGTCTTCACTCAGTAGCCACCCACCAAAACACATCACCGATGCTTCGAGAGCTGGAGCAGCATTGAAAGTTTATGACAGGAGCATTCTGGGCACTGTTAGAATTCCATGAGCCCTGAGAAAGGAAGCTCTTAAAGTCCCCATTGTTCCCTTGAAAGAAAATGTCCAGGCTGGGCACAGTGGCTCCTGCCTATAATCCCAGCACTTTGGGAGGCCGAGGTGGGTGGATCACCTGAGGTCAGGAGTTCGAGACCAGCCTGGCCAATGTTGTGAAACCCTGTCTCTATTAAAAATACAAAAATTAGCCAAGCATGGTGGTGGGCATCTATAATCCCAGCTATTTAGGAGGCTGAGATGGGAGAATCGCTTCAACCCGGGGGCGGAGGTTACAGTGAGCTGAGATCGTGCCACTGCACTCCAGCCTGGGTAAAAAAAGAGGGTAACTCCATCTAAAAAAAAAAAAAGAAGAAAAAAAAAAAGAAAATGTCCAGTTCCCCTGAAAAATGTCATTTCCCAGAAAGACACCGTTGGCCCAGCACCAGCCTTTAACCTGCCTAAGAAAAGAACCACCCAAGAGCTTTCCCCAGCGTGCTGCACTGAGGGCGCTGGGGGAAACTGCCCTGGTGTGTTTCTTACGGACTGCAGCCCCTGGCCTGGGGCTGAGAGTTGTCCTAAACTCCCAACCTGCATCCCTGGGGTAACAACATAGGCTGAAAGGCTGCCCTGTGCCTGGCCAGGAGGGAGATTAGACAACAGCTACCAAGGGGAATCACAGGCCCATGCTAAGGAAAACAGTGTTCGCACTTCTCCCACACGCAGAATGCTTATTTTATTTTAAATTCAGGAGTAACACAGTGCGAACAACAGAAACTTTCATTTCTGGAGCACTGTTCTCGCCTCCTCGCTCAGTCTCCCTTCGGAGGTTTGCTGAGTCCAGCTTGGCCCCAGGCCAAACTCTCAAAAGAGGGCCGGGACATGGCTCGCTTTGCCTGTTGTCTGTCGGAACTCATTTCACTGCCCTTTTGTCGGAGGTGCTTCCTTCCTCTCTCTCCTGTTTCCAACACCCCCCACCTCCCTGCAGGTGAATTTCCCATAGGTAGCAATTAGCCTCTGCAGAAGAAAAGTTTTAGAAAGGTGTCCTGGTCTTAGTGTCTCCACGGTGAACACATTGGCATATATGGGATCACACGACTCCACCCAAAACAGAATTCATTCAACGTTTCCAGGCCGTGTTCCACCAACTGTTCTGCATAAACTCTCCTGCATTCTTTAGAACATGATTACCCTGCACTCTTATGTGTTTCAGAAATACATACAGTTAATGATCAGCAGAACGTTCTATCCAATGGAAAGGATTTACGGGTTAAAGTAATCACTAACTTCCCACAGCTTCGATGTCCTGGACCGCATCATTGCACTGTCTACCCAGGTGCTTTCATAACTCCAGGAATGAATCTCTTGATGAGCTCCAAGATGGGCCTGCCTTGAGTTCCACTTAAAGGACCAGTGCGTTGGCAAATATTTAGCATCAGAGCCAGTGCCTTTTCCAGAAGTTAGCTGCACAGACGCAAACTGGCGTCTCAGAGTGGAGGGGCGTTCTGGCATCTCCTGTCTCCCCATCTGGCATGTCCAGCCGTGCTGCTAACGTTCCTTCTAGGACACTGTGTCTTGGCACCTTCATTTACACCACACTAGGAATTGACGCAACGGTTTCCAGACTTATGAACTGTGACACTTATAATAAACCTTTCTAGCGTTGAAACATATATGTAACAAAAAGGCCCCATTACAGCTTTGACCAAGTGGAAAATGCTCAGGGTGTGGAGCCAAACACTCCTGGTTTAAATCCAAATTCTGATTCCATTTAAGTGGTGATTTGGGGTCAGATTGGAAATGCCTGATCATAGGTTTCTTCATCCATCAAATGGGGTCCAGCATTCCTCATGGGGGGCTGCTTGGAGGACCGAGGGGCTATTGGATATAAAAGGGCTTTGTACACAGTAAAATATCCAAAAATATGAGCTGTTCTTATGACCGGATGATAGTTTATGCAACATTTAAAAGAAGTAATCTGTTCCTTACCTTAAGATTTGATATTCTTTTTCCTGAATATATATGTGGTATTAGATCATAATTGAAATTAATTCTACTTTTCAAAACTACACATAATTCAATGCTTCTTGAGGGCCAGGGACAGTTCTGCATTTGGTAATACATTTCACATAACAGCTGCATTTCACAAACTCAGGGAAGCTAACAATTATGGGAGACACTGGAGTGGGCTTTATGTGTAAGCTACGAGGAGGATAAAGCAGCAGGCATTGAAATAAGAGGACCACGGGGACTGGAAGGCCAGGTGAGGGTGGCAGGCAGGCAGAGGAGGCCCACTAGCAAATCAAATGGCTTGGACATACACTGTACTACCTGGCCACTAGCTGACACTCTCCCTTTGTGAAAACATAAGGCGGCATTATTTTCCAGGCAATAAAACCTCAGATGAATTCTGCCATATGTGGGCAAGGCTCCTCTCCCACAGAACCCTCGTGCCTGGGAAATAGAATTGAACACATCTTCAAAGAGAGTTCTTGGTAAATATACTACTGATTTCACAACCTCTATCCTCTACACAGACCACTGGAGAACAGATTTTCCCAGGGCTGCCCAGTGTCACCATTCGGTGGCCTTGCTGCTTTCTTTCCTTTTTTTTTTTTTCTTTTTTTAAGCCAGTGTCTCGCTCTGTTGCCCAGGCTGGAGTGCAGTAGCATAATCCTGGCACACTGCAACCTCTCCTCTTGGATTCAAGCGATTCTCCTGCCTCTCAACCTCCTGAGTGGCTGGGACTACAGGCGCAGTGGCCTTGCTTTCTGAGTCAATCTCTGGGGAGGCGTGACTAACTTCTACTTTGCCTTTCTAAGGGATAGGAAAATGGGAGGTCGGAGGAAAAGGGATAGGAAAATAGAGAAAGGGGCAGACGTCTCCTTACCTTGAGCCATTCACTTGGCTAGGGTTACATTCCATTTTGATGGTGACCCTAGCTGGGGGTTGAGACAGCCAATCCTGCTGAGGGACGCGTGGGCTCATCTTGGAAGTCTGTCCATAGTCGCTGGAGGAGGACGCGGTCATCTCCGTCTTTGCCAGGTGTGGCGTTCCGTAGGCACACTCAAACAACGACTGGTCCTCGCTCACAACTGATAGCGCTTCCTGAATGCCCAAAGAAACACATAATTCAAGACATTCCAATAGACACTCATGTCTCCAAAAGTTGTTGATTTCAGAGTCCTTTCTAACTGGGACCACATTTTAGATCGTTTTCATGGTCTCCACTTCTACCTTTCAGAAGAAAAAAGTAGCTTGTTTTTCTTTCCTCCAGACAGTAAGGGTTAGAAGTGCCAGCCCAGAGAAACTTTTATGCAGGTCTCAAAGCCTCTCAGGCTTGACAATGGCAGGGCAGCAGAACACCCACTTTAATCTCAACGTAAGGAAGTTGAATTTCAAAGGTCTTAGAAGACATCCAAATGCATGTGTCATTATTTGACAAATGCAATCTATAATTCAAGCAGGCAGGGTACAGAACAGTCATGAAGATAAAAAAAGAAATGTGACGGCTAACACCTAAGCATCTGGCAAAATTGCCACATTCCCGGGGATTTTGAGGAAGGGGGACTTAGACGAAGACAGAGGGATCAATGGAGCAACAAAGGGCAACCAACCAAAGATACAAAGGTTTCCACTCTAAGTTATTAGCTGAAGTAGAGTTTCAAGTGGTGCTTCCATGATGGTGAACATCTGGATGATAAATGAACCCAAAAAAAGAAAAACAAAAAAAGCTGTGAAGTATCCAGATGCTTCCAAACACCAGGATGTTTAAAAGATCTGGACCACTGACAAGCTCTTTTTTCCCCTTACTTTCTATTAATATCTTTGCTCTTTTGCATGATTGGGTGAGAAGAAATAGCAATTTGTCATTGTTGGATCAATCATTTATTGCAGTTTTAAGTCAAACAAGTGGTTAGCCAAGGGCTATGTTTATATTCTACAGCCAATGAGCTATGGCAAGTTTGATTGGGAAATTTCAGCTACTTTCATGATGTCTTGTGCTGCCATGACACAGCTGCTGTGATACAATCCCATTTTGGTTCTTATGATAGACAAAAACACCCATATGACTGCTCATTTTTATATTGGTCTTTTGGCATCCTCAGTATTGACATCAACTGGTGTGAAGTGAAGGCTAATTGGGCCACATATTTTTATTAAAAAATGAAAAAAAAAGAACTTTGGAGCCAGAGCAGGGGAAGCAGGGGTGTGTGGGCTGTGCACACCCTTCCAGTCCAAACGTCTCACCTCCAGATGAGAAACCTGAGACCCAGAAAGGTCTAGAGTTAATCTTGAATGAGCTGGCCATGATCAACTAGGGAATTGGTGACAGGAATGACTTGTGTATTGCCATCTGCCTTCCCCTTGTCCCCACAGCCCTATGATGCCCTTTATGACATTTTTTTTTCATTTGGGACATGTGTTTAAATTAGCACCCTCTTCTTCTTCTTTGACTTGACCTTTAAGTAAATAAGGGTGTTTCCCATCAGTCATTGCACCCTAGAAGCAGCCTTTCTTAGATGGAGACCTCCCTCCCCACCTAAAAGGATCAGAATCTTTAGGAAACTGTCACTCCCCAACCCCACATGTACTCTGTCCCTCTATCCCCTACCTGCCCCAGGACCAAGTTTTTTCCCTAGCTTCCCACGTGCACAAACTTCTTTGCCAGACACACACTGCACTGAGAATCAGCAAGGCAGAACAATCAAACAAACTTGAACCTCTGTCTCTCAAAGTGGTGGTCAGGCCTCTGTGCATATGCAAGCCCCCACCCTCAACTCCATTAGAATCTATAGGATGACAGCCCTGTGACACCTGGGAAAGATGAAGCCTGGAGTTCAAACAGTAATGTAAAATGTACCAAAGAGTCAGTTATGCCAGACAGAGAACCAGAATCAGGCACAAGGAACAAAATCATCTTGAATAGACAGCAAAAGCAAACTCATCCACAAACAAAAATAATACAAGGCAGTGGCACAGAAGTTGACAATACAGAAATGGCATCCTAGATGTTAGGGAACCTGAATATCACCGGCTTTCTCTTCTGGTCACAACTGAGTGGCCAAATCAAGGAGTCTAAACTCATAGATGTGCATTTCAAAGTAAAATCAGCACCATAGACTTAGTGTAATCATGCTCGTTAAGACAAAAATTAAGCCTTCTTAAATAATTTTTGCAAAACAGATACTCCCTTCCCATGGCAGCATTGGGTAGCGTGTTTTACACTCTCAGAACAGGAAACAGGGCTGATGGCTGCTGCCTCCCTCCTTCCTGGGCCTGAGTCTCGACCAAGGCTCGGAGGGGAATAACACACTATGTAATGTTAGCTTTGGCTTCCCTATGATGAGAAACATGAACAAATGTGTGATTTATATCAGAAATTGGCAAAAACAGGTTATATATATAAGAAACAGGCTAAATTTAAAATTACAAACTAAAAAGAAAACGGCTGCACCAACAACAAACAAGCAATAACTTTAAAATATTAGTACCTCTCCAAGATGAAGTCAGATATTCTTGCAAACAAATCCAAAAGCCAGATAAATATGGTGTAAGATTAAATTAAAAAAAAAAAAAAACAGACCAAAATATTAGAACTAAAATGAAGCTTAAGCATGTGTTTGTAGGGGGAGGAATTCATTCTCACATCTGGCAAAGCATTATTTCAGCACATGGTTTTCTAAAGAAAGAAATCAAAGTTAATTGAGATGAATTTAGGAAGGGAAAAAACCCTTAGAAATGCTAGAGATGGGGAGGCACGCCTCCTTTCTTTGTATCTTAAAATTCTTCTCACAGTTAATATTGCACAAAAATGAGAAAGGGGAAATAATTCAGAATGTTAAAAGCAATCCCTCAGTTGCTTTTGTTCATTAGAAGGGAAAGATTTTAAAAATAAGGAAGTTCAGGATAAACATTTCAAAAGGGGTGAAATACAGCCCACATTTTGAAAAGACAAAGCAACCCAAACTATGCCCCAAAATGATTCTTATTAAACAAAGGCTGCTGAACATCTAGGATGAAGTACAACTCAGGAAAAAGAAACAAGTGAATAAATAAAATCTTTCTCTCTCACACACACTAGGGGAGTAAGAATAAGCTGAGAGTGGTTCTCATAGATCCACTCCAAGAAGAGTGATCACTCAAGTGCTGTTCTGCAGAAGAAAATCAAGCCACACACCACCACGTCTCTTTGTCTTCACACTTGACTTGGTTATAGGCAGGTTTCATCACCCCTTTGGTTAAAGTGTGAATGGCACAGGCTGCCACATAGGACCGTCCCTGCCTGGCAGTCCTGTGACTTCAAAGGGGATCCAGCCCAGCAGGATTAAAACCAGAAAAAGAGCGTGAACACAGGCTGGTAACCAGGACCACATGCGTTCTTTAACTCTGGCTCTGGGAGAGACCTCCTGGCCTTGACTGACATGTCCTTCCTTCCCTGCAGCCTGGCTTCTCCTCCTTATAGCTAGAAGATCTCATCTACCTACGTGCCTACCTGCCACGAGGGTTGGCAGCTGCCTTAGTGAACATGTATAGACTGTTATTGCAGAAACTCTCGCCAGCTGCAGGGCTTGGTGGCTTTATAACAGAGACTATTTTAAACGTCAAAATCTGGCAGAAATGTGGCATAATAATTTCATATGTCTGCTTCTATGTTACTATAAAAAGACTTGAACTTTGGGTTGGTGTTTGCCAATGTGTGGGGTGTTTTTTTTTCTGTAGCTCCAGGAAAGTTGGGATATTCCCATCAGGCAAGTGGCAGGTCACCAAGACCATTTTTAAAGAACTTATGAGAAACACATAATTCTAATCAAATAGTCCCCAAACAAAAGGTACTGCTGTGTTAGTACTATGGTGTTTATTATTTCATGTCAATACAGAATATACCAATAACATATGAGGACCATTCCTTTGGATTTTGGTCATGGGATAACAGTTGACCTAGAGTTCCAGAAATGGGGGGAGGTCCCACCAGGTTATATCTCATATTATAACTGTAAAATATGCATGTATTTTCAAGGAACTCAACTTGAGTACAACAAAGGATCCAAAATATTTAGATTAAAGCAATAAAAAAACCTAATGAAGTTGAACGCATTCTGACATTTTCAGCAAAATACTTCAGGAATCCTGATGCCTTTCTATAACAGATGAATATTTTGCAAGATGCATACATCTCACCAAAGTATTAGAAAATAAGCGTCCAAATTTGCTTCTAATTTGTGATCCTTATAGCTCATAAAAATATTACATTGTTAATACAGAGAATCTGTCATACTTAAACTCTTTTGAAAATCTGGGAGTGGCAAAGTGCTGAAACTGAGAAAATCTTAAAGAATGGTCAGCTGGATTTCACATCTGGAGTAAGCAAAAACACCCAGGGAAATGGTCCTTTCATGGTTTTCAAAAATTAGGAAGATGGCCAGAACTAGACCTCCTGAGAATTGGATTATCAAATCCATCTTCAATGTTTTCAAGTCTTATATGCCATAATTATTTGATAATTATGAAAAACAAATGGAACAACTAGGTGCAAAAAGAATTTTATGATCGTGATCATGCTTAAAAAAAAAATCTTAGGCCAGGTGCGGTGGCTCACACCTGTAATCCTAACACTTTGTGAGGCCAAGGCGGGCACAGCATGAGGTCAGGAGATTGAGGCCATCCTGGCCAACATGATGAAATCCCATCTCTACTAAAAAAAAAAAAAAATTAGGCATGGTGGCACAAGCCTGTAGTCCCAGCTACTTGGGAGGCTGAGGCAGGAGAATTGCTTCAACCCAGGAGGCAGAGGTTGTAGTAAGCCGAGATCATGCCACTGCACTCCAGCCTGGGCAGAGTGAGATTCCATCTTAAAAAAAAAACAAAAAAAACTTAAAGAAGTCCTTGCTGCTATCACAATACAGTGTGGAGATCATCCACTTAAGAAGCCAATATCGTCTTAAATCAATAGCCTGATTTTTCTGTCAGTTTTAATCCCATTACAATCTAATACAAAACCCTTCCTTAAATTTCTCTTGTATATAACCAAGCAAACTTTGGCACATCACTTAACTCCCTATACTGCCATGTGTAAGATATCTTTTAACCACTTTCATAAATAGCTTTTCCATCAAATAAACCAGATTATCTTGTTAAGCACTCTGTATGCAATATCCTCTTAAATTGTTTTGTTGATTATAAGATACACCACTTTTCACAACTTATCGGCTCTGAAATATGAAAATGAATGACTTATCCTAGGTATTAGGCAGCATATCTTCTTCTCTGATGGCAGGTAAAATAATGGGACATTTTATAACCAATGATATCCTACATTTTATGAAAAATGATCATTTAATCCTTACAATTGTCCTATAAGGTCAGCTGTTATTCTTGCCCACCAATCAGAAAGTGCAATTAGAGAAGTAACATCAATGGTGAGGATGAGGCAGAAAGAGGGTTTGTGTCTCTGAACTGAACCATCCCCCAAGGCTGTACACTGGCGACTATCTGGGTGTTACTGGAAGGAAGAAGTTGGATTAAGAAAAGTCACACGGTGGAGTCTTTGGGTGCCTGGTCTTGCCATGAGAGATGGAATCACGTAGAAAGAGACAGAGAGGCTGGAAGAGGGAAGAGACAGAAGAAGGATGAAGGGATAAGTGTCCGGAATCCCTGGATCTAGGATGGAATAAAGGATCTGGACAGTAAGTGGAGAGTGCTGGAAACCTCTCTAGGTATACCATGCTCTTCTATGAGCCTAGGGGATGTGTAGCAGTGGGCCCCACATCCTGTTAATTATTTATTTTGCAATGGCTTAAATCAATAACCCTGTTCTTTTGTTTGGTTAATCCGATTATTCAGAAACAAAGACAATGCCAGGTGTTGGGATGTGTTCATTGCAGGTGGATGCCTGCCTTCTCTTAATGATGACTATGCAGGAAAACTAGGACAGGTAGGAGTGCCATTCACAAATATACTGAAGCCTGTGCCACTTTGGTGGCCTTTAATGGATGTCTGCAGACCTAATGATATTGGAAAACTATTTATTTGGCTGTCTCAGGCTCTATTGTTTATAGCTTCTCTTTCAGGCAGCACATGGGCAGTAGACGGTTCTAAACGGTCTAGTATCTAATTGCATTTGGAGGAGAAAAAAGCAACACAAACAAAATAGACAATGCACTCAGAGAAAGCTCTGCTCTGCCACCAGAAGCCCGACAAAGACATGCCAGTCCTTCAGGAGATTTCATTCTAAACGTGCACACTTTTGCAATTCTGAGGCCACAGGTATCTCATTAAACAAGAATCTTCATCTGACCAGCGTGTCTTTTAATTACAACACAGAGAAAAACCAAATGTGGTAAGTGAAAGAAGCTTCATCAAGCTGGGTATGATCATTTTTGCCCCTTCTTGATATGATTTCCTTTTTTTCTTAATTCTTCAGAGGAGGAAACATTAACATCATATATTAAATGCAGCATCTAGCTTTGTGTTCACGTTTTTCTAATTTTACAAATTTCTATCTTCGGCCTTGAAAAATATAAAAATATCTTGGATTAACCTCAAAGGAAAAATGTATGTAGGCATATGAAGTCCATCTAAAGAGAGTATTTCTCCAATATGATGTCACTTCAATGTCAAACAATTTCACCACTCACAACACTAGTCCAGTGCTAAGAAAAGGAGACCCAGAACTAGTGTTCAGATACAATTGCACATACATATATACAAGCACATATACATGCATATATATATATACATATATACATGTGCACATGCATGCAAATATATACACACATATACAGATACATACATGTATATATACAAATATATGTAAGTATATGCATATATACAAATAGATACATATACAAATATAGGCATATATACAATACATAACATATATACAAATATATCATACATATGTACACATATTACTAAATATATATTAAGATAATGAGAGATGAAAATCTATATCATTATTATCTTTATTAATAGAACACTTTAGTCCAGGTGTGGTGGCTCACACCTGTAATCCCAACACTTTGGGAGGCTGATGCAGGCAGATCACCTGAGGTTGGGAGTTCGAGACCAGCCTGACCAACATGGAGAAAGCCTGTCTCTACTAAAAATGCAAAATTAGCTGGTTAAGGTGGCATACGCCTGTAATCCCAGCTATTCAGGAGGCTGAGGCAGGAGAATTGCGTGAGCCCGAGAGGTGGAGGTTGTGGTAAGCCAAGATCGTGCCATTGTCCTCCAGCCTGAGCAACAAGAGCGAAACTCCATCTCAAAAGGAAAAAAAAATTAGAACACTTCAGAGGATTTTTAGATATTCCTTATCTTTAATCATACCCACTAGGGTTAATGTTGCCTAAAAGATACAGGGAACCGGGCTTCTTCCCTTTCTACACCTGCTGCTTCTTCTCTCATCCTAGAAGGTGCTTTCCCCTGTGCTCAGCACATCCCTTCAGAACAGACTTCACTGGGCATCCATCCCCTCCATGCCCTTCAGCTGATTTTCCCTGCTCTGGACTCATTGGGTTTCTCAGGGCTCAGAAAAGGCCTGGCTAGTGCCAGCAATTCTCTTTTCCCACATATTTCTCCCTTGGCTTCACCTTTATTAAAATATAAGCATTTTGAGGGCTGGCTCCTCTATATGTCTGCTCCTATACATGAGGTAATTTCTTAACCTCAGAGGTTTGTTGGTGCTTGTATCAGCCCTAGGACTGAGCCATTAGGTAATATTACAGCCCCATCATAATGGTATAAATGGGGTCCACAAACTTCTATCACATCCAAATAAATAGGCATATTTTTGTGAGAAGAATGGGTTGTGCAGCCAATGACCAGGAGTTCCAAGGAGTCTGGAAAAGAATTGCCATTGGCAATATGTCTGCAGTCATATTACCATAGAGCACATTATTGCAGAGTTTCACCTTAAATCTACATAGGCTTACCTAGGGACTTCCTATAGCTAAGCAACCTATGAACAAAATAAAACTTACTGGAAAATGAACATTTGCAAAAGAAGGAGGGAGCATGCAATCTGGAAAGCAGAAACCCTAGAAATACTATGAAAGAGTGAAGCTTTGTAGAAAAAAATTAAAGAAAGAATGGTTATGTCTACATAATGAAAACTAGATTTAAATGAGCCTTGAGAGATTAAGAATTTCAACCAACTTAATTTTTAAACAACTCTTTGTTTTCTCAGTGACTTGCAGAATAACCTCGAATGCATCTGAAAGCACAATGAACTGGGACTAGTTAGCCTGGCAAATGTCACTTATCTGTTTAAGAAACAGTGTGCCTGTGGTGGTAAGAGCTTCTTATCTTCTTCTTCAAAGTATCACCTTTTTGGCTGGGTGCAGTGGCTCACACCTGTAATCCCAGCATTTTGGGGAGTGAGGCAGGTGAATGACCTGAGGTCAGGAGTTTGAGACCAGCCTGGCCAACATGATGAAACCCAACTCTACTAAAAATTAGCTGGATGTGGTAGTAGCACCTGTAATTCCAGCTACTCGAGAGGCTGAAGCAGGAGAATTGCTTGAACCCAGGATGATGAGGTTGCAGTGAGCCGAGATAGCACCACTGTACTCCAGCCTGGGCAACAAGCATGAAACACCATCTCAGAAAAAAAAAAAAAAAAAAAAAGAATCACTTCTTCCCAGTAGGTTTCTTTCTTTGGAGATGAGCAAAAAGTATAAAAAACATCTATGGAAACCTCCTATTTGTTAAGTTTTACATGGAAATGAGTGCAAAAAATGCCCTTGCTATTCTTTTAAAACCTTCTAAAATGGGACTGTTGCTACTCTTGACATTCAGTGCTTGTTTTTGTTTCTTGAATCACTATCATATATTACTCATGAATATTCATCAAAACCCTTGTCCTTATTTTTTAAATCTAGTTTTAAATAATTCATCTGAGATAAAAAGATCTTTTTCTTTCCACTTTTTAAATCACCCTGGAGAACGAACATGAAGCTGTACCAACGTGCAGGAGACTGTCTGGTGGAGCACAGGAGCCAGGGAGAGGGATCTGAAGATGGAAGATGTGAATTTCAAGCTGGGCTCTGCCCTTGCTCTGGGAATCACCTGGGTCAATCCTTTAACCCTTCCCTGCCCCAAGTGTGAGCTGAGAGCTTGCCAGAAATGCAGATTCCAAGTCTCCAGCCCTGCTGAATCAGAATCTGCTTTGTAACAACATCCCCAGGTGAGCTGGCTGCCTGCTCAGTTCAGCAAGTGCTGCATTATCCTTTCTTGACTCTCAATATCTTCAACTATAAAGGTGGTACTGATGGCAGCCAGCTGCCCAGCAGCTCTCTCCCAGGACAGCTGAATGGGCCAAATAAGCTAGTGTTTGTCACAGCTTTCACAAATCTTAATATTGTATTTATCATCACGTGATAGAACAGTGACGTGACTGACTCCAAACCTCCACACGTGAAACATCAGAATTAACCATTTCTAGTCATGTTATTCTAACAAGCCAGATGCAAGGAAAATCACAATCTCTTGTGTGCAAATTATTACTTACTCTTTTTAAGTACTGGATTTTCAAACTATGCATCTACGTAACAGAGGGGAAGGGTGATCTTTCATTTTAGGAGCACATCTGTCACTTTGATTTAGTCTTTTTGGTCCCTGGTCCAGTTC